GAAGAAACACAGAGGCTGGAATTAAACCTCTTGAGAACGGAGTGCTACTTGGCTAGGCTGGTACCTCTGAGGAGGGGGTGCCATGAAGCTGGTTCTGCAAGTACTGGAAGAACTGCAAACTGGATTCAGTTGCTCCCACAGGAAGGACCTGTCACTGCTGGGGTGAAGAAATGTTGCTGGCATGACACTGACAAGCAGAAGCAAAATCCACAGGCAGCAGGGGGAAAGAGGCAAGTTGCTTCTTCCCCTTTCAGCCTTGCAGTTTCCCTCTGGCACCCCTTATCAGTGTAGCCCACCAGGAAGCCAGCTGAAGAGCAGAATGTGGTCTGCACAGTGCCAGCCCCAGCAGCACAGAGCAGAAGGGTGGGTTGAGATCTGGGGAGGGGGGATAAGAGTACCAAACTGACAAGACTACTGGGAGGATTAAATGAAACAAACTTTGTAAACTTGTTATAATGCCTGAAACAAAGTAGCTATCCAATAAAAGTCAATTCCCTTCCTCATTCCCCAAACTGTGGCAAGAGCTAATACATGAAGACAAGGATATGTGAGAGTTCAACAGTGCATGTTCCCTATGAGGCATCCAGATTTTCTTATCTCTTATGAATTACCATATATCAAATGGTACGTTAGTCTTATTAGGTTTTAACCTATCCATCTTGCAAAGTTTCACAATCTCCACACCCAGTTCACACACGCACGTACACATGGATGTGTATGCATACATGTTCCCCTTAATCCCAAACAAAATTCTCCACAATGAAGGCAAAAGATATAAATGTGATCAAAACACAGAACTGGATGAACTCAATACCAATAGTAGGAAGCAGAGTACTCTCAATAATGTTGAAAAAAGTATACATCGAATAAAATTTTAGTGTTTTGATTTAAGCTATTTTTCAAAGCCGTAAAAGTAGGAAATGATAGTGGGTGTGGCATTGGTGGGAAGCAAAAATCACTAATTTCATCTGGGACTTCATTAAGAGAAGTATGGTGTCCAAAAAGAGGCAAAGAACAACACATCTTTACTCAGCTCTGGACATCACATTTTAGGACGGGCATTAACAAACTAGAACTTTGTCAGTGGCTCAGAACTAGAAAATGTGTTGGTTAAAGGCGAGTCTTTTCACAAATGGTTGAAAACACTCATCACATTTCATTTGGAAGAGAGACACTGATGGTGATTATGTGGAGCTAACACTCCAGTGCTGCCAAACAAGGAGAGTAAATTCAGAAGCTTCACAACGCAATGGATCAGAGTATCATCTGGAAACGTAGCTCAAGAGATTTTCCTGTAAAAGTGTGACCACAGAGGCTTGGGAATCCCAAATACAGCCAAGGTGATTTGGGGGGTGAAGAGAGTCAGGGAAGAGGTAATAACTAAGCTGAAAATGGAAACACTACTTAGAATTCTGCTTAAAGAAAGAATGCGTTATCAAAAGGGAAATATTCAGCATAAAGGCTAGAAAAAGCCAACTTAAGTGGAAAGAATGAATTGGTACATTTCCAAGAAAGAAAGGGGGAAATTATCTAATTTGATTTGTTTGTTTTGATTTTACAACCCTCTTATAATATAGTTTCCCACGTAGATTTCCCCATAGATAGAATATAACTGCAGCACACCAATTCCAGTTTGCTAGATAATCATAATCTTCACTCTGCTCAGAGCTTGCTTTCTCCTTCAAAATTCCAGGAAATAGTTTCCCCATTTTTATGGATAAATAAATTGAAATTTGGCTAATAAGTAGCAGAACTGTGATTCACCTCCATGTGTAACTGACCTTGCACTCCATCACAATCAGGAGAGCCGGAAGTCCCAGAAAACAGAGAGAGATGTACAAGAAAGTGGTGACAATCTGGTAGTGAATATCGCAAAGAAATGAAGAAGAATGAGGGCTGAGAAAAATGCCCTTACATTCAGTAGTCCAGAGGACTTCTCAGCAAAAAAGTACCAGAAGCCAGACTACACTAGATTAATAAGCAAGAAAATAATAAAGAAACAGGCATTGAGCATAGAACACTTTTTCAAAAAATCTGGCTGCAGAACAAAGAACAGTGTCATAAAGAGATCTGTTTCACTTTAGCCCTAATAGGCTCTTTCTGCCAGCCATTAAATACAGCCACTCTGCAGAGAGCTATGGGAAAACCGGTGAAGATCCCCCAACCACAGTGTCAGTCCAGAGGAACAGATTCTCTGTATATGGAGAGATTGAGATGGGCATCTTACTCTGTGAGTGAACATTTTGGGTCCAAACAAATGGGTTTCTTAGAGTCCATTTGTTTTTTACTCTCAGAATACATTTTCCATGATGAAAAGCCAGTGGGAAAAATACAATTCAGTTTACAATGCTTTAAAAAACCACTTTTCTGGAACATATATGTTTAGTTAACTGACAATTTAATAACAATCTCTTGGAAAGAAGGCATATGTTTATATGTGAAATGATAAAATGAATTTTTTTCTTTCTTTTGGCAATTCAACTTTTTTCCCCTAAGAGAATGATGGTGCTCATGATGTTTTAATATTAACTTACCTTTTACTGAGAAATTTTATATAATGGGATCCCTCCCAGTGAATTTAAATATAAGAAAAGTCTTCAATCTAGAATTAAAATATCTGTTTAATATCTCAAAAATACCAGAAGCCTCTATCACAGTCAGAAAAATGTGTACTTCAGTAGAATTTACAGCAGGGGTTGAGAGAACAGTGCATAGCTTAAAGTACATTTCATAGTTTAAATGCTGCTAGAAAAAGCATTCCAGCCATCTAGGATATCAGAGCATGAGTTTTCTTTTTTTAATGATAAGCAGATTTCAAATATCAATGTTTTATTATGTTTAAATTCCAGCCCTTTTCCTTACTGTTCATAGTTATGTATCTGTTGGTATACAGAAATGAGACACACCAGAAATTCTGACCAGTGATATGAAGCAGAAATGCATAGCCACAGTGTGTTATCTTTTACTAAATTATAGTTGGCACACAGATAGAATAAGATTTGGGCCAATCTTTTTGGTCCTTCTTACAACAAAGTTGGCTAACAATTGTCTGATTCTTTCCTTCTTTTTTATTTTTCCTCTCCTCACCCTCCCCCATGTCTGGAGCTTGGGGATAAATCAAACCATCTTATCTAAAATTTTTTTGGTTGACAGAAAAGTCAAATATTTAAATTGAATTCCTTATGGGGCTACCTGCTTTTTTTTTTTTCCTGGCTCTGATTATTTTTAAAAGATACAGAGCTTTAGAAATGTAAAGTGTTTTGATCTTTCAAGAGTCCTGCATTGATTGAGCAATAAAAACTGATTTATGCTCTGTGATAGCATCATAAGGTTTTATCACTGAAATGCAATATAAATTAACCTTATCACCCAGACCCTTTGCGCATTCCTACTTTTCTCTATTCATGATGTGAATTAGTTCTTATTTCAACATATTCACAGATAAGGAAATATTTTAGGTAAACATGTTATCAATGTGTACCTATAACTGTGGAAAGAAGAGAAAAGGAAAGAAAAAATGAAAGGAAAGGAAGAAAGAAAGAGGGGAGGGAGGGAGGAAGGAGAGAAAGATACAAGAATTATAGTCGAATGCCAGGATTATCTCAAAGAAACAACTTTATTTCTACTTCAAAACAACATGTAGGACTCTGGCCTTGGTTGTATGAAGTTAGGATAATTTTATAAATAAAAAGCATATTCTCTCACATTAGAATGTCTAGATTTGAATTCCAGTCCTACTCCTTATCAGATGTATGGGCTTGGGCAACTTAATTTTTCTCTATTCCAGCTTCTTTATCTGAAAACTGGGATACTCATAGCACCCGTCTCAGAATTACAGTAAAGATTAAATAACACATGTAAAGAGTTAGAAGAAAACCTGGCACATCACACGTGCTCAATAAATGTTAGTTATTTTCACTCTTCTCATCACCCTTCATGTTCCTTAAAGCCCTCATATATAATCACCTAAGACACTTAAAGTTATGATTTTTGTTCATATTATGACCCTCTAATTTTTTTCCTTCTAGGTTCATCCACATTCTTTTACTTCCAAAATTTTGTTCTATTTCAACTTGACAGTTTGATTTTTTTTTGTACTCATTAGGAATCAAGAATTTGGGTGAGAAATCTCAGCAAGAAAAATTTACCCATCTAGTAAAATGTACTAGTATTTATTGGATACCTAAGAGCAGATTATAAGAGAAACCTTATTTTTTAAATAGAGAAATAAACTTTTACAACTTTCCAGAAATAAATTCTACCTATTAAAACCAGATTCAATATCCATATTTAAATATTTCCATACTAATAAAATTATTTAATTTAAAAAGGGTAAAACCCCAGATTCCTTTTCTCCAATAAAAACATTAGTTCTCTGACTTTTTAATCCAAAGAAAAAAACCATTTAAAATTTAAATTCCATTGCAGTCCCATTTTTTTAATACTAAGGACAAAGCTCCATGTGAAAAAAAAGGAAATGAGAAATATCAGGCATTTCATACTGCGGTGAAGAATGGGTAACACTGATGTAACCAGACAATCGGCAGACCACTCTAAGGGTGAGAGGCCGGGACAGAACGTGTCCATCTCCTCAACTGATTTGTCAGCACGGTCATTCATTCATCAAGTCTAAACTAATAAGCGATCACTTCTCCACAGTAAGTGTGGAGGTGGGGGCAGGGGTGTAGAAGTGGGACAGAATGAAGCAGAGGAAGTTCAGAGCAATTTTGAGAGTTCTAGATCAAATTAACTAACAGCATGATGCCTTGTAAGCAAGGACTCTGTTGGACTTCCCAAAGTTGAGTCTAAGAAAAGAGCTCATGGTTGAGCCCCGAGGGCACGTGTATAAATTCCTTGCCTACTCCTTCATCAGTTTATAAATGTCTTCAATACTTTTACCTAGATGCCATGCTGGCTAGGTGGGCCTGCAGATCAGAGCAGACTTAAATGAACTTCCTCAGAGCCGGTGGTCACTGTCTGTGGGTAAGTGGATAACTTACCCATACTCAGCTTGATTGGCAGGTTTTCTCTGCTTGCTGCTTCCACTAGATGTCTCCGGACTTCCATCACTGCCTCTTTGTGCTTGGTGTTCAATAAGGCTTCCCACAGGGCTTTGGCTGCGGGGTCACTGCAATAAAACCACAGAAAGAGCTTTAGGGTAAATTTCTACTGGATAACGGAAAGGGCAGTGAGCAAAATAATTTCTTAAGCATCTTTTCTGAGTACTAATGTAGTTCTTCCCACTGACAGTTTTAAGTATTAGGATTAAATAAAGAACATCTCACCCATTCTAATCAGCACAAAATACTGAAAAATTAAGGAAACAATAAAATCAAGCCACTTAAAAGGGGGGGCATGCTGTGCTATGAGAAGTATGGGAAAACTGTATGACATTTTTTTTTTGAGAATTTGCACTTAAAAGTATTTCAGAGTATAACTGAACATTGCTAGAGTAACATATAAATGTTATGTAAGCCAAAATCAAATACATGTCCAAAAATGATGTATCAGTGATTACAAGCATATAAATTTCAGGTAATGTACTTGTCTAAGAAACAGAAGGCAATCAGCAATGAGAATTTCTATTCAAAAATTACTCAACAGAATTCCTAACAAGTAGATTTCCTAGTGAATGACAATCAGGAATTAGGCTATGAAACGATGGCCTTAAGTAGCCCACTTTGGGCCTTGGGTTGGAAGGACAGCACTGACAAAGCCCTTACAATTAACCGTTGATAAGAGCACGAAGCAGGGCATTATGCAGGGTCTCATCTGGGCTCACTTCTCCAACAGCCCTCTGTCTCACCCAACGTGCCACATCCCCATTATAAATGAGTACAGTGTTCTTTCCGGAAGATCTCTGCATGTAGCCAAGTATACACATTTGTAGTAACGTTTTAAAAACTGAGTACAAAGAAACAAAGATGACCTCTTTCCCTTTCTAAGGACATTTTCCTCTACTTAAACTCCAGAAACACCTCCTACTATCCAGTTAGCAATAGTTTGAAAATCAATACATTTTTTAAAGTTTTATCTTAAAAGTTGTATCTAATAAGATATTAATTTAGCTCTAAAATTATACCTAATAAGGTTTATCTTTCACATTTGAATTTGATTTGGAACGATGTATTTCAGACTGAGTTTAATGTCTGACACATAATAAAAACAACTACTATTTAATGAAAGGTTATTATCATCTATTTTTCTGCGTTAACTAACATCACTGCTCAACATATTCCACTTCTTTTGATCTGATCAAAACTGTCATCATTAATATTAAAATTAATATTCTAAGTTTAATTTAAATGAGCAGGTAACTGCATGCCAAGCCCTACTCTCCGTGGTTGGAATACAGAACAAAACAGGGCAAAAGCTTTCAATGATTCATTGTCTGGAAGAAGAGACAGACATGTAAGCAAAGTTGCTCCATGCTAAGGTGGAAGGGGAGGGGCAGTAGAAGTAAGTGTAAAAGAGACGTTGGGAGCTACTCTAGGAGGGCCCTGCCTTCCTTGCCAAGGCTTGTTGACTTCAGTCTGTAAGTGATGAGCAGCCAATCAACATGAGATTGATTTCACTTTCTGAGAAGGGTAGCATAGTTCAGCAGTCACGAACAAAGTCTTTATCATCACTCAAAACTAGGTCTATACTTATAAGTGGAATCTAAAAAAATAATACAAATGAGTCTATTTACAAAACAGAAACAGACTCATAAACATAGAAAACAAACTTATGGTTACCAAAGGGGAAAGGGAAGAGGGAGAGAGATAAAATAGGACTATGGGATTAACAGATACACACCACTATATATAAAATAGATAAGCAACAAGGATTTACGTATAGCACAGGGAACAACATTCAACAACTTGTAATAACTTATAATGGAAAATAATCTGAAAAAATATATATATATATAACTGAATTACTTTGCTGTACATCTGAAACTAACACAATATTATAAATCAACTATACTACGATAAGAGAAAAAAATTCTTTTTAAAGCTAGGTCTATTTGCTATGGGGCTTTGGGAGAGTTACTTAATTTCTCTAAAGCTCTGAAGGCAATGGAGAACCACTGAGGAATTTTGAGCAGGGGAGGTACACTCCTCCCAGTTTCCCAAATTTATGGTCTACAATCATTCCCTACTTTTATTCTCCAAAGCACCCCAAGCCACAGGGATTTCTTCTATACTCTCAACTCTACATACAGAACCTCCAGAGTAGAACTTTACTGCCGCCCTCTTTTCCATGAGAATAATACAGTGTCTCCAAGATCACAGTATGTCAGCTGTGGTTGCCCCATCAGACTACTGTAATGGTTAAAATATGGGTTCTGAGGTCAGATAAATCTGAGTTCAAATCCCATCGTTCTCCCTTCACCCACAGCAGCTCCATGGCCCCTTTGAGCCTCCGCAGGCACTCCAAGCACAGGGACCTCTTTCACTC